CTCAACTGATTACTTGCAACCTCCACATGCCTTTTTAAAAAGTATTTTTCTTTCTGGTTAACATGTGAATATATGTACACATATATATGTATATTTATGGTTTTTAAAAATCATATTAACTTTACCAAGTAAAAAACAGGTCATACTGTAATTGAGCCAGTTAAAAAGGGTACAATTTTTTAAAATGTAGCATTTTAATGGGGTAAAAAGACATAAAATGATTAAATATGTTTTAGACTACTAAAAAGGTCATTTCAAGGACTTTATTAAAGGTTTACTGTTGTCTAAAAAGCAAGAGAAAAAGTAATTGGCTGGTAATAAGTAAAAAAAAGGGTGGTTTTATCTTAAAGTAAAAATGTAAAGAAAAAAAATGCTTTCTGTAGCATGGCTATTGTTGGGGGCTCTTAGCCCAGCTTTATGTTACAAATCAAGAGCAAAGAGCCAACAGGATAATTTGCAATACTGTGAGTTTGGGGTAGGGGAATTTCCAGAAATGTTATAGATTGTAAAGACAGAGTTGAGATTTTGATTGTGGGGGAAAAAAGAGAAAAAGAAACAATTTGTCTTGTACTGGAAAAAGCCGATCTAAATTTAAAAGAAATAACTATTGTGCCTAATGTGATTGGTGATTACAGAGATAAAATACAAGTTCCTGCATGTGCTGTGGACATCTGGGAGATTATGTGGCACAATTAATTTTTTTACCTATGAAAAAGCCCTTTTTGTTAAGTATGTAATTTCAGTAAAACAATGGCCTGCCACGTGGCACCCTGGGACAAAAAAAGCAGTATGCCATCCAGATGAAGCCTGCCCTCTGATCCGGAATGCCAGAACCATGTTTTTCTTTTGTCCCACCCTGATTGAACAACCAGAGGTAAGGAGGTTCCCCAATATCACCAGTTATTCTCGGTAGCCATTAGGGCACCCCAGAAAACCCATCAGTTGCTCAAGATAGCAGAGGTGAGACAATTGGCTAATAAGTCTCCTTTAGGGTTTTCTGAAAAGATTGCAAAAGGCCTATCACATTTATATACTGATAGCACCTAAAAATGCAAGGCTATTAATATTGCATTTGTAACCTAGGCAGCCCCTGATATTGAGCAAAAATTGCAAAAGTTTGAGAGATTTGAGGGAATGTCCTTCAGTCAGTTATTAGAGGATGCTTAAAAGATATTTGACAACCGAGAGGATCCTAAAGACCAGGCTTTTAGAGGTTCCTGCTGGGCAGAAAAAAATACATTGGTTGTTGGATTCACCATAAAGAAAAATAAGACTCTTTCCTCCCAGCGGATGCAAGCCATCCAACAGATTCCAGTCCCTGTGACTAAAGGCAAGTGCAAAAATTTCCAGGAGCCACAGGACTGATCCAGAGTTTGAGACCCTGACAGAGGCCTGTTGCCTATTTTTCCAAGAGACTTGATTATGTAACAGCCGGATGGCCACCCTGTCTGTGGGTGATTTCCTCAGTGACCCTCCTGGTAAAAGAGGCTTAAAAATTGACTTTTAGACAGAAACTCTTAATTGTCCCCTCCTATTCGCTGGAGATCAAGGCTCCGCGGGACCGATGGCTGCCCAATTCCCAAGTCATGCATTATCCAACATTACCTCTTGATCTGATTACCATCAATTTCAAGGGGACAGATCTTCAAACTCTGCTACTCTGCTGCCTGATGATGCCCCTCCTTGCCCTTCCACGAGTGTATTGGGGACCAGACTTAACAGATGAGCCACTATTCAGAGTTCCTTTGTATTTCTCCGATGGAAACAGTTACATCTATCAAGGTAAGTGAGTCTTGAGAGCTGCCGTTACCACAGACTCTCAGATTCTTTTTTTTTTTTGTCTTTTTCGTTTTTATCGGTACCGGGGATCGAACTCACGACTGCCTGCTTACAAGGCAGGCGCTCATGCCGCTGAGCTAAATCCCCAGTCCCCAGACTCTCAGATTCTATGGGAACCAACACTGGAGCTGGAAACATCGGCCCAACGGGCTGAACTCATTGCCCTCACTGAGGCCTCAAGTTGTCAAAGTATGTGTTTGCTACTGCCCACGTTCATGGGACTATTTACCAGGAATGGGGATTATTGACTTCTGGGGGCCAAAGGATTAAAAATGCTCCCCAAATTTTAGGTTTGTTTGCAGCCATCTGGATGCCAAGAAAAGTGGCTATTATCCATTGTAGAGCCCATCAGACAGAAGATGATCTTGTTATACGGGGGAATAACTTGGCAGACATCACTGCCTGAAAGGCAGCTATAAAATCAGTGGGGATTAAGACAGTCCCAACTCTACTGCTGGTTCCCTCTACTCTGTCAGAACCTGTCTATACTCAAAGAGACTTTGCATCTAGCTGTGCAGCTTCAAGCAAAGCCTAATGTCTCTGGAGGCTGGTACCAACTTCCAGACAACTGAATCCTCCTCCCTAAGGCATTGGGTCACGAACTTATCCAACAAGCCCATCAATCCACCCACCTAGGAGGATCAAAACTAGCTGCCCTTTTTCGGGAACGTTTCTTTATTCCTCAATTATCAAAGCTCGCCCAATCTGTGAGCCTCAGATGCCCTCAGTGCCAATTGGAACCCAAAACAACTGCAACAAATAGAAACCACTCGCTACGTGAGACTATGCCTAGAGAACATTAAGCCTAGACTTCAAGGAAATAAGTACTTATTAATAATAATAGATGGGGGGCTGGGGATTTAGCACAGTGGTGTAAGTGCCTGCCTTGCAAGCCTGTGGTCGTGAGTTCAATCCCTGGTACCAGTAAAAAAAAAAAAAGATAGAATGGGTTAAAACTTTGCCTATTAAGTCTGAGTCAGCCCTGATAACAATTTCCCTGGTTTGGCCTCCTTTTTATCTGTGGGGTCTGACAATGGCCCGGCTTTTTAAATTTTTTTTTGTCTTTTCCCTTTTTATTGGTACCAGGGATCAAACTCACGACTACCTGCTTGCAAGGCAGGCACTTATGCCGCTGAGCTAAATCCCCAGCCCCAATGGCCCGGTTTTTATAGCTCACATAACTCAAAAACTAACCTAAGCTTTACAGATCAATTGGAAACTCCATTGTGCTTACCGGCCTCAAAGTTCAGGACAAGTGAAAAAGAGAAGTCAGATTTTAAAGACAATAATTACTAATGGCCTTAAAAACTGGTGAGAACTGGGTGAGTCTCTTTCCTTTTGCTCTTTTGCGTGTGCAATATACCCCCTATGTTGCACGTATTTCCCCTTTTGAGGCTTTGTATGGGAGACCTCTTCCTCTTATCCTTAAGGTTTCTAAAAAATAATCAGCTGATTCAGCTAATCAAGATCTTATTAAGTCCCCCCAGACTTTTCAGCCAACATTCCTCCACCTGCTGCCCACTGTGAGGACAAACACCTTGCTGTGGAGCCTAGACACCGGTCCTTATCAAGAGACGTCACCGTAAATCTCTTGAGCCGCAATGGACTATCAAAGTAGCCGGAAAGCCTGCCTAGATCCATCATTCCCAAATCCCAGCTTCTGAAGGCAATCAATCTATGGTAAGTAGACTGTCGTTCCCTCCAAGGACTCTTTAAAGCTTAAGACTGCCAAATGTAACTGATAATCTTGTGTTCTCCCTTGTAGAGACCCCAAGGAGGCCTCTGTCTGACTTTAGAAAAAAAACTGTTACTTATATGATGAACAGTTTTAATAATGACAGCTGCAAGACCTTTGCTAATCCTCCTATTGGGCCTTGAATTTTTTTTTTTTTTTTTGTCTTTTTCCTTTTTATTGGTACCAGGGATCAAACTCACGTCTGCCTGCTTGCAAGGTAGGCGCTTATGCCGCTGAGCTAAACCTCCAGCCCTGGGCCTTGAGTTGTAAACAAGTTGATAAACTATGTCAAAGATCTTAAAAGCTTATGATTTTAAAGAGGTTATAAACAGATGCAAGGTTATAAACAGATACCTATGAGTCAATGATTTGACTAACTAAAAATCAGTGGGGAATGTTGTACACTAGCAAAAAGCTTTGTTATATTTCTATTACACCAAAATACCTGTAATGTGGCTTACTGTTCTATATGCGTATTTTTTTTCCTCTGGGTGACCTAATTGATATGTTAATCATATGCTCTCCTCTGTAAAGAATTGTAAATTCCTGTGAGACTTCTCTGTCCTCTCCTAAGGGAAACAAAGGTCTTGCTCACCCTTAGTGGGTCAAGGATTTTCTCATTTCCTGATCCACGCCCATAACCTTTACTTTGTGAGCTGTGATATATACTGAAGGGCGGCAAGTACAGAGGAATGACATACACACCTTTTGCAATCTCCAACTGCACTGTGTCGCTGGGCTCAGGATGTAATAAATCAGCGCTGCTTTTTAAAATGTTTTTGCCTCATTTTTTGAACTCGAGCTTGGGGTTTTTGCCTCATTTTTTGAACTCGAGCTTGGGGGCTCATTTGTGGATTACAAGAAGGCAGGTACCAGCCATGCCACCCCACCACCAGCCTCAGGGACCTTTGCACTAACCCCATTCTATTTTTTAGACAGTGTCTCACTGTATGCTTGAACTTGGGATTCTTCTGCTTCAGCCTCTCTGACTTCCTGCTGGGATTACAGGTGTGTGCCTTCACTTCCAACTGAAGGAACCAATTGTTGATTTCCCAGGTGCACGGTGGGATCGTGGGAGAGGCTGCTCTCTGGGCGCTTCCACTGGGGCTCAAAGCCCAACTAGTCTGTCTGACGGCAAGAGGGAAGGTAACGGTATTTGCACTCTTTCTGGGACATCCCTGCAGGAGCTGCTGCCAGGAGAGGTGGCTCGGAAGGCCAGCTGAGGACTGGCCAGTTCAGAGCCCTGGCCTGTGGCTGCAGAGGGCCCCCAGCCCAGATCCTGTGGGCAGCCTGTGGTCACACTGGCATTCTGGGGCCTGCCCGGCATGTGGGGAATGTTGCAGGAAAAGTCCTGGCCTTTCTAGAGGCTCTGAAAAGGGAAGTGTTCCGAGATGGGGTGGGTGGTGGGTGGGAGGTGCTGTTTGTAGGGATGTCACCCCTGAGCCAGGAGAGGGACAATGGGAATCCTAACAATGGGGGCTACAGCCAGGCTTACACCCCTGCAGATGGCATTTTGGGGCAGGAAGAGTCTGGGCTCTGCTTGGTCCATGTGGCCTGGGTGGCCCAAGATCCTTCCTAAATGGGCCACGGAATTCCTGCCCTGCAGGTCATGGCCTGGTGGCCTGTGCATCACCAGAATGGGGACACTGGGCACCGAATGTGCCCTTCTCACTGAGGCCATCTGGCTAGCCGGTTGCTGGCCTCCAGGGATGACGGCCTACAAGGAAGGAAGGTACCACAGCGGCAGGGAAGGCTGGGGTATGGGGTCTGCAGGCCTCTCCCCAGCTTGAGCCCTTCCCACTCCCCACCTAGCGAGCTCAACTCTTCTTCCGAGGCTTTGCTCCCTGCAGACTCTGCTCCAAGGCCACCAGCTGGGGCAACCCGCGCTCTGCTTCCACCCAGAGCCGATTCAGCACCGTGATCTTCGGCTTTGGTCCTCTCCAACCCGGCTCTTCCTCCCAGTATGGGGGCCGCATGGCTGTGGTTGTCCTCAGGAGTGGGGGTGGGGCGACGGCCCCGCGGGGGGCGGGCGGAGGTGTGGAGCTGCGGGAGCCCGCGGTGCACGCGCAGGGGGATGCTGGGGACTCAGAGAAGCCTCGGGACCCCCAGGACCGCGCCCCACCCGGCCCTCCGAGCTCACCCAGCTCTGCCGCTTCCCCCAGCCCCGGAGGGGCGGGGCCTCGCGGGTGACGTCACTCCGCCTATAAAACCCCGGGCGCCACGGGCCGGCTTTGTGGAGCGCTGCGGAGGGAGCGCGCGCGGGTAGGGCCGCGAACAAAGGAGCTGGGCGCCGCCGCGGGGGACCGCCACCCACCTCCGGGCCGCCACCATGACCGCCAACGGCACGGCCGAGGCGGTGCAGATCCAGTTCGGCCTCATCAACTGCAGCAACAAGTACCTGACTGCCGAGGCGTTCGGGTTCAAGGTGAACGCGTCGGCCAGCAGCCTGAAGAAGAAGCAGATCTGGACGCTGGAGCAGCCCCCCGACGAGGCGGGCAGCGCGGCTGTGTGCCTGCGCAGCCACCTGGGCCGCTACCTGGCGGCCGACAAGGACGGCAACGTGACCTGCGAGCGCGAGGTGCCCGGCCCCGACTGCCGCTTCCTCATCGTGGCGCACGACGACGGCCGCTGGTCGCTGCAGTCCGAGGCGCACAGGCGCTACTTTGGCGGCACCGAGGACCGCCTGTCGTGCTTCGCTCAGACCGTGTCCCCGGCCGAGAAGTGGAGCGTGCACATCGCCATGCACCCGCAGGTTAACATATATAGCCTGACCCGCAAGCGCTACGCGCACCTGAGCGCCCGGCCGGCCGACGAGATCGCGGTGGACCGCGACGTGCCCTGGGGCGTCGACTCGCTCATCACGCTGGCTTTCCAGGACCAGCGCTACAGCGTGCAGACCGCCGACCACCGCTTCCTGCGCCACGACGGCCGCCTGGTGGCCCGCCCCGAGCCCGCCACTGGCTACACGCTGGAGTTCCGCTCCGGCAAGGTGGCCTTCCGCGACTTCGAGGGCCGCTACCTGGCACCGTCAGGGCCCAGCGGCACGCTCAAGGCGGGCAAGGCCACCAAGGTTGGCAAGGACGAGCTCTTCGCCCTGGAGCAGAGCTGCGCCCAGGTCGTGCTGCAGGCGGCCAACGAGAGGAATGTGTCCACGCGCCAGGGTGAGTGGGACACCGCCCCGCGCGTCTTCTGGGCCGTGCACAAAGCGCATTCTCGCAGCCTCCCGCCCTTTTTTCGCCCGCAGCGCCGCTGCGGCCCTCAGTGTCCCTTGCGCCCCCATTAGGCGCACAGGCCACCCCGCCTTGCCACGGGTTGGGATCCCTGGGCCCCCGAGACCCAGCTCAGAATCACCATAGTGCCACAACCCACGGAGTCTGAGTTTTCCTTACACCCGGCTCTTGGGGAGGGGGTGCCCCTCGCCCAATCCCTTGTGGCCGTCCGTCTTTCAGCGGGCCTTTAGCCTAGCAGCGGAGGCAATGGCCACCACTGGGACCGGGCGTCCACCCCAGGCTGACTAGGTGGGGGACGTTAGGGGACTTCTGATCGCGTCCAGTGCGCCGCCACCACCCACCCCGTGCGTTAGCCCAAGCGCGCCTCTCCTTGCGGGGCGGCGGGAGAGGGGGCTCTGAGTGCCTGGTCTCCCCCGCCCCGCGCGCGAGGCCGCGGCCTTTTGTGAGCAGGGGGCGGGTCGCCGCCGCTGGGCCCTCCCTCGCCCCCTTTGTCCTGCTCGGTCCCTGCAGATGGGAAAGCCAGATGCGGCGGGGCGGGGGAGGGTCGGTCCGGGCCTGGGGGGAAGAGGAGGCCCCCACGCCCCACTCGGTGGTGCCCCTGGCCCAGGATCTTCTGGAGGTGGCCTCCCCCTGCGCGCCGCTGCTGGGCGGCAGCGTGGCGAGGATGGCGACGCGCCAGGCACTCCGCCCCGCGTCCTCTCTGCGCTCACCGCACGCCTCCCTCCGCGCCCAACGCCCTGCGGCTGCAGGGGTCCAAGGGCGGCCTTGTCGCGCGCCCGGAGACCCCAGCACGTTTCCCCGGGGAGCCCCTACCCTCGAGTCAACCCGTCCCCGGGGCCTGGCCGGGAACAATCAGTTGCAACCCGATCCACCTCTTCAGGGCCTCCCACCGACGGGCCATTTCCGACCGTCCTGTGCGCCAGAGCGGGAGCCCCTGCCTGCGCCGGATTCTCCGCCTCTCTGGCGGCGGCCCTTCCTCCGGAGCTTAGAGGCTGTTTGCAGCTGGAGGCGCCCCTGGAGGGGCCTGTGAGGGTCTTGCCCCCGTCATGGGAGGCTGGGTCCCCGGGCCCTGGGGAATTTGGACACGTGCCGGGTCAGTGGCCCCCTACCCTCCCAAAGAGACCTCTGAAATCCCATGGCAGTGGACGCGCACGCGCGGGGGTGGGGTGGGGCGGTCACTTGCTGAGTGAAGGCCCACAGAAGCGGAGGGTCTTGCCTCAGGTTACGTAGCGAGTACAGAGCATGCAGGAAGCCGTGTGTTCAGGACTCGGGAGTGGGCTCTGGCTGGCTGCCTTGGTGCCCGTCACCTCCCTCTGCCTGACTGAATTCTGCTGGGTGGGGTGAAATTCCCACATGCTCAGCAGGCATTGAAGACGTGCTGAGATGAGTGGTGAACAAGGAGGGCTTGCACTGTTTTGGGAATTTGATTGAGGTATCAAGGAAAGAGTGAGGGTGCACGATTGGGACCCCAGATTAGTTAAGGTGGGCACCTTTCTGAGGAGGACTCCTGAGCTGACCTGAATGGAGACTAGAAAGTAACACCATGTGGAATGGTGTTGAAGGTAGTGGAAACAGGTTGTGCAAAGGCCCTGAGGTGACCAAGGCCAGAGAAATCCAGTATGCCTGGGAAGAATTTGAGGCTGGGGGATGGGACTGAAGGGCCCCACAGGGCAACTCAGTAAGGCACTACTCTGACCCAGAGATAGGTCTCACGGCCCTGTCCAGATCCTGCTGTCCTGGGCCTGGGTCGTTGGAACAGGACAGCATAGGACTGGACAGCAAGAGCTGGGCGCCTGAGGGTGTTTTGGCGGTGAGCCTAGGCAGATGCCGTGTTTAGTGAAGCTCACTGGGGCGCCAGGTTGTGATTCAGGCTGATGGAGCAGGAGGAGTCGGAAACTGGAGCCTGTCAGAGTTGGCTCATCCCGGAGATTAAAGGGCTTGGGGAAGGCGCCGGCTCCTGGTGTGGGGTGGGGCATAGGGCGTGGCTGGAGGCCAGGCCTGCGTGGCATGGGGCGGGCCCTTTCCGCTGAAGGCCTTGGGCTCTTCCAGCCGGAAGAAGGAGGGACCTGGGATCTCCTCCCACCGGACTAGCGACCTGAATCTGCCCCCTTGCCGGCAGGGCCTGGTGGGGGAGGGGTGCTCCCTACAGAGGCTGCCGGCTCTTCAGCCACAGTTTCCCCATCTGTAAAGTGCACACATCCGTTTGCCCCAGGCTGTGTGTCGGGGGTGGGGTGGGTGGGGGGGCTCACCTTCAGTGGGTCGGCCCAAGGAGCACTCCTTACCCAGGCGGGGTCTCCTTATAGTCACTCCTAGAGTAACTGGCTGCAGAGAGGCTGCACAGCCTGGGCTTTGCAGAATGTCTAAGAGTTCTCCTTAGGCCTCCAATGATGTGTTTGAGCACGGAGGAGGAGGAATTGGCAGTGACTCGATAGTTTTAAGAGCTGGCTAGAAAGAAGTGGATGAGGTGAGGCTGCAGATGATTCCAAGCCCCCTCCCCTAGATGGGGTGGGCTATGTTGGAGGGCACCTATTCTCAGCAAGCCAGGGGAATTTGGGAAATATGAGGGGCCGGGGACTGGGAAAGACAAAAGGGGTGTGCGCGCGCCGGTGCCCCCTCCCAGCTCCTCGGAAAGAAGCTGTAAGACCGCAGAAGCTGGAAGACCGCGGGGCTCAGGGATCTGGAGGGGCGGAGGCGCGCCCCTCCTCTGCCCCGCTGGAGCCCCCGCGTCCCGGCTGCCAGACTCCTCAGCCTGTGACTCAGGTTTTCTGTGCTGCTGTGGATGAAAAGACAAATCCCGCAGAAAACCTGTTCCCATGGTAACAGGCTCCAATTAGAGGCTGGAGGCTGGCGGGTGGCCTCTCAGGCGGGCTGTGAGGCGGGGCGCGAGGAGAGCCTGGCTGTCACAGGTGGGGCGCAGGCTGGCGGGGTGAGGTCGCTGGGCCTGCTGCTGCCTGGCTGAGGGCTTCTTCCGACCGGTTCCAGGACTGGACACAACAGGTTGGGGGCTGAGGAGCTGGGCAGATGGCTGCGGTCATGTTCTGCCTGGGAAGATGGCCGAGGCGTTAATGTCACACAGTGGCTGGCGGAGTGAAGCTGATGCCACCCGGTTGTCACCACTCTGAGTTACCAGAGCTCAGCTACCAGAAGCCTCATGCAGAGCCAGGCACTTTGATGTCTGTTTGTCATCCCAGTTCTTCAGGGGGCTGAGGCAGGAGGGTCTCAGGCTTGAGGCCAGCCTGGGCCATTTAGCGACACCCCGTCTCAAAATTAAAAAATGAAGCCAGAAAAATAAAAAGAAAAACCCACAAATGGAGACGGGCCTCCTGCTTCTGCTTCAGTCCTGCAGTTATCTGCAAGGGGGCTGGAGGCTGGCTTCTTTCCCTGCACATCCTCCTTCCCCGCCCCAGGCTCCTTTTCCTGGGGTGCTTGGGCTCTTCTGTCGCACTGCTGGGGTGGTCCTAAGGGGTTTTTCCTTCTGTCTTAACAGGCCCTCTGCCTGTTGAGATGAGGAACCCCGGTGGGAACTGCGCCCTGGGCACTGCCTTGGTGTCCCAGAGGCACAGGCAGGAGGCTGGGTGGGAAGATGGAGTGTGGTGTTCCCCGGGGTTCCTCCTTCAGACCCGCTGCACAACCGGGGTCACCTCACCCCTGCTGCACAGCCCAGGCACTGATGTGTGGGGCGCAGTTGGGTTAGGAGGTGCCAGCGTCCTCCAGACTCCTGAGTCCTGGGGCTGTGGGCTTCACCGGCTGCCAGCTTTCCTGTCCTCTGGGGGGGGGCGGCTGCTTCACAAAGGGACAGATCAGGTGTCTGCAGGTATGGTGACCTGGGGGGGGGGTGCGGATTTGTTCCTCCAGAACCAGAGAGCCCACAGAACTGCAGGGCTGGGCCAGGCATGGCATTGTACGCCTGTGACCCTGTCGCTCTGTGAGGGTGAGGCGGGACGATCACAGGTTCAAGCC